TTTTTGTAAAAATAGAACACCCCTCACTAAATAGGGGTGGTGGACTAAGACACAACTTGTCATCCATCTACAATCCTGTTTTGAGATCTCTGCCCAAACATGCCCACCAGCACAATAGGCGTCAGTCCACAGGTGAGGGTTCAAAGACAGGTAACAATGCTCACTGATGCCGGACTATAATGACTCAGTCATTAGGGGGCATTGTTGGCCGTCAAAGGACTGAAACACCACCATAAATACCTCCTGCTCACCACCTGTTGGACAGAACTGATAGAGCCTCTTGGATCAGAAGTGAAATGTCCTCTACCAAAAATCAAGTCCAGATGATTTTTTTCTATGTTTTTTCAGCTTTTTATGACCTGGATGACTGACAATTTGCACTGACAGAAGGCAGGTGGCACAGGAGATTTTACTGTCAGTCAGATTGAGAAAGCTATGGCAAATGTGATAATGCAATTTTTAGGTACTCAATAGTGTATACCATTTATTGGACAGATCTGAATAATGAAGGAGTCCGTCTTTCTTCATTTTAGTGCTGATTTATTTTAAACCACAAGTAAAATTACAAAACTTCCAGGCATCCCCATGCAGGCTGCTGGAAAAAAGGAGCCCCTGGCCACACAGAGCCTAATACATTTATAAGTTTTGGGCTAACCTCTTACATAGATGAAGTCAGTCCGCAGACTCCATCTCTTATCTAGAGCTCCCCAGGCTTGGAGCAGCTGGATTTTACCTAGTCATAACAAAATGAGAAAGCTCAGTGTGTGTGTATGTTGTCACATGGTGCATAACTAAGCATTCATTCAGACATAATATTCTAACACAAGATTTAATACAAGAAAACAATTAGTGCCATGGTTCACTTTTCAGAATCAACACTCTGCTAACCTTGATACAAAACAGACTAGAGCAGACTTTGAATCTTACTAAATTGCATTACTAACACATTAAGGTCTAACAATTACTAATATCTAACACTACTATTATAGTATATTGTCTTTTTAACTAAACTAGTGGTGTAGCTCTATAGTCAGCAGGCCACCATCTGTGCTGAGAGTGAAATTTAGAATGACATGTGTGACCGGTGGACTTCTGCGTTGTATTGTGTTGGGGCGTGTGTGGTGGCTGAAGGACCCACGAAACACCAGGACTGCGTTTGGAGGCACGCTCCATTTAATCTGACAACATGAAATAATAATCAGCAACTAGCACGTATAAGGTCTAACAATTACTAATATCTAACACTACTATTATAGTATATTGTCTTTTTAACTAAACTAGTGGTGTAGCTCTATAGTCAGCAGGCCACCATCTGTGCTGAGAGTGAAATTTAGAATGACATGTGTGACCGGTGGACTTCTGCGTTGTATTGTGTTGGGGCGTGTGTGGTGGCTGAAGGACCCACGAAACACCAGGACTGCGTTTGGAGGCACGCTCCATTTAATCTGACAACATGAAATAATAATCAGCAACTAGCACGTACTGCTGGACCTCAAGCCCAATCTCTTCCCAGTGGAACATATCAAAAGGGCCAAAATAGATGTGTGACCGGTGGACTTCTGCGTTGTATTGTGTTGGGGCGTGTGTGGTGGCTGAAGGACCCACGAAACACCAGGACTGCGTTTGGAGGCACGCTCCATTTAATCTGACAACATGAAATAATAATCAGCAACTAGCACGTACTGCTGGACCTCAAGCCCAATCTCTTCCCAGTGGAACATATCAAAAGGGCCAAAATAGTCAGATAACATACCTGACAACATGAAATAATAATCAGCACCTAGCATGTGCTGCTGGACCTCAAGCCCAATCTATATAAAAAAAAAACCATCATGTTAGTGTGTTAGCATACATTGTCATCGGAACAAAGCTAAGTAATTAGCACTGTCAAATGTCATAACAGCATAATAACAGTACATGTATGAGTATCAACAGTCATCATTTATACAGAAGAAGTAAAAATAAAGATGTGGGCACAAGAAAAAAAAGGATTACAATGGATTATGAACTGACCTCTTCCCAGTGGAACATATCAAAAGGGAAGAGGGTACGACACAACATCGCATTTATATGACAAACGGTGGGACAAACAAAGAAGAAGCAAGGCGGAGCTGGAGGTTGCAACCCAATACACAACATATAGGAAACATTTGGGCTCTGGATGTCACGTATGGATAAACAGTAATTAAACCTAATAAACAACTTTGTGTAATTATATGTTATAACATAGGGACCGGTTACACATATCATGAAATTTGGAACAGATACTTCAGAACCCCAGAAACTCAAATCACTTTGATGATCTCCTTTCCTTTATCTAGTACCATCATCAGGACAAGTTTCAATATGACTGTGGTGTTTGATAGTGCAAAGCTAAAGAGATTCCTATAAATAAAAGCTAATTAGCCTATTTAGTGCTAATTAGCTAATGTTAGCATGCTAACACTAAAGCTACAAACTAAGAGCTTGGTAAACATTGCCTGCCAAATGTCAGTATTTTGCCTCATTGTCACCTGTGCATAGCCTTTATAAAGTCAACAGAATGTATTTCTAATGTACATAATCATATAATAATTTATTTTTTACTGGTTCTTTGTTTCTGAAAGTATTTTAAGATTGTGATGTAGGCACAAATCAGAGTAAAGTACCATAGGGTTAAATATAATGGCAGTTTCTCTCTTCTTATGCAAACCTGATGCTATGTGTGAAAATAGAATAAGGAATATTACTTGGCACTTGACATCATCAAGCAGCTACATTTTCTAGTTCAAAATGGCCACTTCTCTGCTACTGTATATGTCATTAGATTTTAGAACCTAAGTAGTTTCTCTGGATTCCATGAGATTAAATGATGCTTCCAAGACCAATTGCATTTCAATTAAGTATTTCCATTTAACCCGTTTCTACAGTATATTTTATTAATCATGCAGTCTCTCAAGTAGTATTTTGTGCAAATGAATATTTTATTATTACAGTATGAAAATATGTCTTCTTCTAGCAGTGTCCATGCCATTAGTCAAGTCGAAAGTTGAAAATGGACTTTTAAGTATGTCCAAGACCAAGTCAAGTTCTCCTCCTCCGTCAGCCATTGTGATGGTAAAAAATTCTAACTCAAATGTATTAATGTGTGCAGATCGCTACAGACGTGTTTTGCTAGTCAAACTCGGCTGTAACAGTTTTGCTCTCACCAACCAATCAGAGGACAGAAAAATGCTGACGTCATTGTGGGCCAGATAGCTGGCCCTGTGTGGCGAATTTGAGATTTGATTGGTTAAAGAAACAGTCCCATTGCTAACATAGTTTAAGTTACATCGGCCAGCACTACTGATTCTGAAGGCCCTGGGCAGATTACATTGGCATGACAGCACATAGAAGCTGAAATCTGATTGGACAAAAAATCTAACATCCACATACACCTACTGGAAGCAGTGCAGCCAAGAGAAATGCTACGAAATGAAGAGAGTAGACTGTTGGGAATAAATTAATACAATTACATGGAACAAATATTACAGTTTAGGTTGTAAACATAGGTCAGTGCGTCAGGCTGACCTGGGACTTGTTGCTGTCTGCTCTTTCTGCTGCTGAACATAGTGTCATGAGCAGCTCCACAACACTAACATGTCTGTGTTACATGGTTTGCAGTGGAGGATGTCTGATGACATTTACAATAGTGTACAGTGTGTTTCACTCATATAGGCTTTGTAAAGGTCAACACTGATACATCTGAGCTGAAGCTGCTGAAAGCTGAGTGATTTTGCTGATACAGAGACAGTTAACATTTGGCCAAATGGGACACACAACCAAATGCTGTTTTTCCCAAGACACATTAAATAAATATTTCAATTTTTAAACAAATGGTGTAATATTTAAAAAAAAAATTGTGACACAAACTGGGGCATGGCAGAGAGGGGCTACCAGTCTGCAAAGAAGACTGATACTAGATGATACCATCTTCACCCAGTAATCTGTCAGACACCTCGTCCTCACCTCATCTTTGACATCTCCTGCCAGTGCAAGCAATAAGTGAAACCTCACTGCTTCTCGTGACCATAAAGAGACAAGAAACCCCCTCCTCTACCAATTATTCCTCAGTATGAGGCAATGGTGGCTTCTTCTTCACCTTCTCATCCTGAAACTGCCCATTGCACTGACATGTTTTATATGACAGACACCCCCCCACCACTTCCATATATACTCCTCATTGAAAAAGTATTGTTTTGGTTTCCATACCAAAACTCAAGCACCAGATTATCCTAGTTTTTTACTGTGCAAATACAGTACATGCTCTAAACCACAGAACAGAAGATTGTTTGTGTTTGTTTTAGCATGTAGTTGTAGAAAGTAGTGTAGAGATGTTTGGAGGGTGAGGGGTGTGTGGGTAAATATGAACATTATAGCAGAAGCCTGCAGAGACTGAACCCAGACGTACATAAAATGATGTGGTGCTAAACCACCCTTCTTTCTCTTTGTGTGCCACTAAGTAAATGATCCCTCATTTCCTGCTCTGTCTTGTTGGACATATGCAGAATTTGAGGCTGATTATCCTCCTGGGATGGTTGGGGAGCTGGGGATCCCCTGCCAGATGATGAATGGAGTCAGGGATGAGAGAGAAATGTGGAGGAGGGGCAGCTACCCTGCACACATATTAACAAACACACAGTCAACAGTATCACACATCAGCATTGTTTAGAGCTGACTGTACAGCTATATCAAATCTTTATGAAATGTGCTCTGATTTGTTCAGATACTTATTTCAACATTAATACAAGCAGCATCTACACCGTAATGTGCAGTGTATGCAAGGGTATCGGGGCCTCTTTTTCAAATACCGATCAGTCCTGGAGTATAGGAGTGCTGTTTTGGTGCGATTCTAATCATTTTATTTTGACTAAGCTTTACCTGTTCCAAACATGTTTTTGAGAACAGTGACATCTGCCTTTGAGTTGCCACAGGTTTCATGCCCATTAGGTAAAGCAGAGGCCTTCAACTCTCTAAAAAAATTTCACCTAATCTAAAGTGGACCAGTAGGAAGCCTGACTAAATCTGAAACACTTAATTGGCTCTTTTTTTTAAGACTGGCATTGTCCCAATCCAAACAACCCCAAGAACAATTAGACTAGTCAACCCCAAACCAAACCTAAATAAATAAAGAAAACCAAGCCTGGTTTTAATGATCCACCAGTTAACAAACAGCAATACACTATTCACTCTGTACTTTACAGATCATGTCTCAGTACACATTTTATTCCTGTGATGATGATGATGATGACACATCACTTGATCAGAGCTGATGAAGTGTCTACTCAGATCAAAAAGGGTATTAAACATCTTGACTCTCAGACCCAAGGCTTGGTGCAACATGCCTGGGACCTGTCCAACTTGATTACACTGAATGTAATATGAACCCAGCCCAACTTTGATCCCAGACTGGGTCAAATGTCTCGATGTTTGGATAGTATAGAAATATGATTTAAAGTCTGTGCTGTTATAATAGCTTTCCAATAGAGCTATGTATGTCAAACTAGCACAGCTAATTTATTTCTCTGCTACAGTAACTATCTTGTATATTAAATAAAATTGTAAACAAAAATTAAGCAAACACAATTTGACCTAGTTTAGAACCCCACACAGAGACACTATGGAATTTTTATTCAAAATTTTCTATGTACAGTAAGTAAGCAAAAACTGAATTTTTCATGAGACTGTTTCTAAAGGCTGTGTTGCCATATTACATAAAGAGAGACCAGGCCTTAAACCCATCAGCTTCATGCAGGTGTTGTCACACTGTCATCAGCTTAACACTCCCGAGTGTGACCAACACACACTAGAAAAAAAAAAAGAAATGACCGCTGTGAACAAAAGGAAAGGAAGATAGAAAACCATGTTCTCACACACGGCAGCTCTGTTTGTTTAATAAAAACATTAACAACAAAAAAGCAATGTGTCAGATTGGTTTTTTTCATTTTGCACACAACTCAGACATGCTGTAGGTAACCTGGGACAAGACACTACAATGTGCTTTGTTCTAAAGGGTCACAAACCACTGGCTTAATCTAAAGGTCATCTTTGGATTAAGACATTACAGAAAAGGGGCCTAAAGCACAAAACAGAAGGCAGGCACATTTTATCACCAGCCGAACGAATTTTACACTTTCAGGTGACTGTAGACAGTGGAAGAGGTAAGACTGATTTGTCCATGTCAGTGGGTTAAACCTGCCTGCTTCTTGTGTCAGGCGGGTGTATGTGGCTGTGAAGAGGGCTACACTGAAGTGATGACATCTGACGGCCTGCTGGACCAATGTACTGTCATCCCCGTGCTGGAGATCCCCACTGCAGGTGACAACAAGGCTGATGTGAAGACCATCCGAGCCTTTAACCCCACGCAGCCTGCAGCCAGCACTCCAGGCAGAGTGGGACGCACCTGGTTCCTGCAGCCTTTCAGTCCAGGTAACTCCTCAACACAGTGGCATCTCATTACTGGACCTGCTGTTTGTCTCATGCTGAATGTGGGTTGTTAAGGTTAACTTTGGAATAATACAATGGAATTAAATATAAATAAGCTGAGTGAATAAGAGTGACTGGTGGATTCTGATAATGTGCAGAAGAAGTTGTCACACTGAAAAAATAGCAGGTCCTATTGAGACTCACAAAGCCTGTAGAAAATCACAGTACATTCCAGCTAGAAAAGTGCATTTTTCAGAGGAGATGCTGAGAAAACAAAATTACTGCTGACTAAGCCATACAAAGAGGAGTGGGGCGAAGAGAAGAGAAGAAAACTGAAGGAGGAACGTAGGTCCTAAAAATCAAAGGAGGGATTAAAGGGAGAAAGGATTAAAAATGCAAGGTAGATATGAAAGAATGGACGTTAAGGGGATAAGGGAGAAAAAAAGAAGAAAAACTTCAAGAAAGAAAAGCGGGAAAGGGAACAAGGAGTAAAGTTAGAAAAGGAAACCAGGAAGAAACAAAGGAAGAAGAAGGGGGAAAGAAAGGTAAACAAGTACTACATACAGCAAAATAGAGCAAAGTCAGGAGAAAGCATGAATAAAAGGGGAGAGAAGGAAATGGAGATAAGGGCAAGCAATGGAAAAAAGAGATCAAGAAATACAGTAAGCATGGAAAAAGGAGAAGGTGTAAAATGAGGAAAAAAAGCAAAATGAAGATAAAAGAAAAGAAAGACAAGAGGAAGAAATAATGAAGGGAAAGGCAGAAAGAACGAGGAGATTGAACAATGAAATTGTTTTTCATTGCCTTGTACATTTGTAATGGCAATAAAGTTGAATCTTATCTAATTTAATCTAATGCAAATTGAAATAACCAAACAGAAGGAGGATCCACATATATGTCACAGTGTGTAACAAACATATATTTTTATCTTTTCTCAATAACTCACATAAAACTGCATATTTATACATGGAGTTGTTGCAGTAAAATAACACATTTTGCAGTTTACATAGCCTCACATACATACCCTTCATACTGTGATGTATGCTGGTATTAGAGGTAGTTGTTGCTGACCTGTGTACCTTTGTATTACATTCACAATTCAGTGACCGAGGTATTTCCACACTCTGCTGCCCCCTTTAGCTCAGGCATGGAAATGAACATGGTCTAAGAGTCAGTCTGTGATTTTCTGTGCAGATGGGAAGCTGAAGACCTGGGTGTATGGAGTAGCAGCAGGAGCATTTGTACTGCTCGTCTTTATAATCTCCATGACATACTTAGCATGGTAATGTACCAACACTTTAAGGATTTAATTTGTACTTCATTGCCACCTCTGCCACCATTAACCCACATTCAGTGATGTAATGGAGACCATCATAAAGGCCCACAAACAAAATCAAAGGTTAACAAATATACTATTTGTACTTTTCTGCTGTGGTCCAGCTGTACGTTCTTCTTGACCAGATTAAGCCTCCTCCTATTGTAAAGGATGTTCTCAAAATACATATCCACTGATCAGTTTATAACAGCAAAATTAAGATGAATAAGATTAGAAATTAGGATCAAGAAATTCAACTGAGATTTATTGAAAGAGGCTTGTATTGTTAGGATTACTCCCGCTATTGAGTATTGCATTTTCATTAAGTTCTGAAAGGCACAGAATAAATGAAAAGGCCAAAGTCAAAGCAGATATCCTGAGGTTTACTCCATAGTAATGGTCAAATGGTCAGGCTTTGTGTTATAAATCTGGGCGATGATATTACTGTACTAGTACTCCCTGTGAGTAGTAAAACAACACTGATGTGAAAAACCAGGCAGAGTGCTGCTGCTGGTAGTGAGTGGTAATCATCATTTAATACATAAAGTGGCCAAATATTCACCTTTTCTGGATTAGCACACCTGTCATGAACAGGCTTATGTTGTTATCATACCCACTGAGCAGCTAATCACTGAATGTTTCAGAAGCCCTATGGAGGAATGAGAAAAAGCTGAGCTCATTACAGTTCACTTTATTGTGATGAGCTTCACTACGTCAGAGGCTGGTTGCATTCACGGAGAACACTGTCAGACTGTTATTAATCAAGAAAAATCAAGAGTTACTGAGTTTGTTTAGGAAGGGACAAAACTGGGCTTCAAGACTCCGTTGGCTTGTGGGTGTGGCCTCTGATTGACACATTGGTCAGTGTTCATGGTAAATGATAAATGGCCACAACACTGTACACAAATCTAATGCATATGTTTAGAAAATCAAGGTTGCTATTTCATTAATTTTATTAAATAAAGACAGATGTCTGTCTAATCTTTCATCTAGGACTAGGCTTAACTCTGGTGTGGAGAACAGCATCAGTGTGACACTCTGATATACAGTACTCTATGTCTAACAGAGGCCATACTGTGGGAAAACAAATCTCAGCCCAGAAAATGTGTCAGTGTTCCT